CATTAAACGATTATTGAAGAATGGAATTGTGTCCATTAATTTTGTGAGGTCACAAGGAAATTTAGCGGATCCTTTGACAAAAGCCCTAGGACGAAAATTAATAACCGAAACATCTAAGGAAATGGGACTAGTGTCACTTTGAAACGAATGGGGATGGGAACCCAACTTGTGTGATTGGAGATCCCATGAAGCAAGTTCAAATGGGTAATAACAAGTCTTCCATTTAGTTCTGCTAGCCTAACTAAAATTGCCCATTTCCATGATGTGAGATATAGGCTAGAAACCGCATACTTTGAGAGGATGAGCTAAAAACTCTTAATGATTATCATAGCCCTTACTTTTAGGGTGGTGTGCAAAAGCGGTACACACTTGATGATATCACCTATATGAGTGTGAGGTGGGGCCGCCTCCATGAAGCATGACAAAACTTCTAGAGCACTCATGAAAACCAAGCACGCGCATGGCCTTACGGCGCACAACGGCGTAATAACGAGAAATTGTGCGGGGGGAGACACGACCGTTAAGACCCTGATTTACCAATAGTGGCTTGTTGGTTTCAAGAAACTATAGGTTTCACCAAAAGCTCGGTTTATTAAGACCTAATCGTCTCGGTTTGGTTTCAAGTCTACGGACACCAAACTTAAAGTCTCATTCCTTTAATCCAGCAGAAATTTTGTAAACTGGTTTTAACATCTAAAAATATTCATTTGAAATATGTGGGGGATTGTTGGAATAATTGGGAGTATTTCAAATGAATAAAATATCCAAAATATTATTTGTTATTCAATAATATTATTTTATTAATCAAACTTGTACTTTCGTATATTCCATTATAAAATAATGAATGGTTCATTTAGTCCTTCAAAATAATAACGTAAGCATCCTTCAGTGTTTAATAATTTTTCCTTAATGAGTACAAAGGAATTACTAATGTGCTCAACGTTCACTTTTTAGAGCCTGAGTCTTTAAAGACTAATTTAATATGCTCAACGTGCATGCTCAACGTAAATAGTATTTATTAATTTGAACGTTGGGAGGTTGGATCTTTATTACTCCAAACATTAGCAGCAATGTTCATTCTTTGCATGTATATATATGTGTGTTCGGCTAGCTATGGAGTACACACATACTTTGAGCAAAAACATCCCCTAATACTCTCACTCTGCTGGATTAATATTATTTTCTACTCTCGTTGTTCTGTTACCGGTTTACACCGAAGAGCTCGTTATATCTTGGGGAAAGGTTTTCGCTAGTCGGAAATACTTTCTTGAGGACAGCGTCTGACGCGTCTCGAGCTAGATTATTTTCTAACGTTATTTTTGCAGGGATATCCGGCCGAATTTCCACCAACAAACGCAACAACAATTTTTAAAATCAGTTTAGTTTTTTGTGTATTCAGATCATGATGTAAATATATGCACCAATGGTTATTTCTCGTGCATATGCATGAGTAGTATACTCGTATTTGTCAAAAGTGAATGTGCAAAGCATCTATGGGATAGAAGGTGAGTGTCGTCCAACACAAGCAATTTCAATGAAGCTGTTACTCCTTCCGTCCCGCTAATATTGTCTCAGACACTATTCACTTGGTCAACACAAATCACTCTTAATCTCTTACTTTATATATCGAATTTTTATCAAATTTGATTCTGGTTTTCGTGACTTTGTAAAGCTTTCAATGTAGTTTCTGAATATGCAATTTTTTTCCTAAAAATAATTTGAGAGCGGACATGGATCCATTTGCTTTATCGTCGGTCAAACGTCGTAAAACGAATTGTCCCAATCTTAGTGGGACGGAGGTAGTGCATTTGAAATTCAAGCATCCTAACAGTCATTATGTACATGTTCATGTGTTCTTTAATAGCGATGATGGGTATGAAGTCAAACATGGGAGACATCAATACAGAGTTAGACTAGAAACAAAAATGTGCTCATGTAGACGGCGGGTCTTAAGCAAGATTCCATGTGCTTACTCAATATGTGCTATGTTTGACATGGGTGGAGACCCCGAGAAGTACATACATCTCTGTTACTCAAAGGAGGTGCACCAACAAATTTATGTCCACCATCTTGAGACAATTAATGGTGAGCTGCTTTGGGAAAAGATCTAAAACAATGACATTGCACCCCCATTCCTAAAAGTTGTCTTGAAGGCCTAAGAAGAAGCGAAATCATAAAGCAAATAAGGTCTCAACATTTGTAAAGGGTAGGACAACTGTGTCAAGGAAAGGAAGAGTTATGACTTGTCCTTTTTGTAAGGAGCAAAGTCACAATAAAGCCAAATGTCCCAACAAAATCACTAATTCACGAGCAACTTCCACTAGACCATCATCATCATGTTGACCTCCATAACTAAGAAGAAAACAAACATGTAGGAGAATACCCAAAAATGAAGGTAGACTGCCACAAATGGACCAAGTCAATAAGACACTAGGAGGGAAGTAGCCAAAATGTTTAAGGTCACATTGTTAAGTACACCAATTCTACTTGTTGGGGGGTTTTAAAGGGATGTAACCCCTATGTTTTTGTTCTCTATGAAAAATGCTTGTGATGCCTTTTTGGCTGCTCCTAAAATGATGGCACTAAAAAACTTCACGATGCATTTTTATGATATGTATTGGTTGTATAATGGTCGTCTCTTGCTAAATGACATTATAACATGTCATGATGCATTTGGATACGAATCATTTGTGATTTCGTGTTGTCGTATTTGGTAATGTTGTTATGTTCTGTAGTTTGTTTAAGGCTTGTGAAAACTATTGGTGAATTGAGTTTTGGTGTGAGTTAAAATCAAGTGTAGAGCATGTGATATTTTGTTTTGATGGTGAATTTGCTGAACCTGACACTTTTTCAATTGATGGTCAAAAGGTCAATTATCCCCCCAACCAGCCCTAACTTTGATCACCTATATCTTTCTTACACTGTATATATGCTTTTATTCTCCAAATTAATACAGGGTATGTTGCTGTAAACACTATGTTATGAAATGCTACTTGTAGGCCATCTCCTATAATGCACTTTTAATTTTCTGGGAAGTAATCAACTTCAAAACTAAAGGGGATAATATCTAAATGTATGTGCATGCCATACTTCTTCTAGTCTTCCTTATATATCCACACAAGTGATGCTTTTTTGTTCTAATATTCTCATCCCATGACCTTCTAGTCTTCCTTATATATCCACACAAGTGATGCTTTTTTGTTCTAATATTCTCATCCCATTACCTGCTGTTATATGTTACTTACTCCTATTAGGACAACATTAGAGTGACAATTTGAGGTTAAGAAGCGTCAAGGGGAGCAACAATTTAGAGAGACAAACTAGAGAGCCATACTAGCTCCCTAATCACGTCGACTCCCTATGTGTACATATATTTACACCAGAGAAGGGTTTGTTGCGCTAACTATTAGTTACTACCTTCGTCCTACTAACATTGAGACAAGAGGAGGTGACACGATTATTTTAAAAAGTGAGTTTATGCGGTTGATATTGAATTTAGTAAAGTAAGAATAGAGTAAAAATGATTTAGAACTACACAAATTTGACATGCGACAATATTACTGGCATGTAAATAACATGACATTGAGATGAAACCAGAAATGACAAGTGTAAAAAGGTCTACATTTAACAAAACAAGTGTCCACATAAGCATCCACAGTAGGGTTGTAAACGAAACGAATCGAGTCGAATAGTGTGATTTTATATTTGTATTTGTTTAATTTTTTTGAATCCGAATTGAAATATGTAACGAATATTATTTTCGATTTGTATTTGTATTTGTTTAACAATACGAATAGTTAACGAATCATATACGAATATCGAATCAATTTGATCATAAGTTAACTATTAGTCAAATATCACTTTTAAACGACTTTCCTATATTTCTTATGTTATAAATGCATGATATGACTTAATATGTGTTTTTAAAATTTAATTTGTAACAATACATTTTTCTTTAGGTTGTGCACAATATACTCAAGTGAATCGATTTTATGATCACTATATATATATATATCAAAGTTTTTTAAATAAGTACTAACACACACATATTAGAAATTATACCTATAATGTGTGAAATAAGTTTATAAATGTATATATAAAAGTCAAATGACTCTAATTTTATGTTAGATATTTAGCATTGTTGATAATAAAAAACACCATTATATATATAATTTATACTACACACATATAGTGGGTAGTTGATGCACACACACACTAGATAGTTGATTTTGTTTATGTACAAACAAATATATATTTCATTATTATTCGAATCAAATACATTATTATTTGTATTCGTATTTCAAAGATGTTTGAACCATTTTTTTTATTCATGATTATATATATTCTATATTTTCAAATTTAAATCATAATTTATGAATTCAAGTCACGGATCGAGTTAAAATTATTTCGTTATCTTCACTAAAATTTAGATAATTTTAGTTATCTTCAAAGTTGAGATATATATTTTCAATTTTGAAATTATATGATTTCAAAATTGTGAAATCATGGTTAATTTCATAAATTATTTCGTTATCTTCAAAGTTGAGATATATATTTTCAATTTTGAAATCATGGTTATGATTATCCGATTAACTATATTTTCAAATTATCCGAAGATTTTTCATGAAGATAACGAAAAAGTAAAGTGGGGAGATATGAATTTTAGTAAATCGTAACTAAAATTAATGCAAACTATGACCTCACCTAGTAATGCCATTTGTTGTTAAAAAAAATAGGTAGATTCTATGGTACCCATAAGGTACCATACATTTGTCCAAATGGACCAATGAGAATGTAGCAGTTGAATTATTTAAATCTAAATTAAAAATGATAAAGTGATGTGGTCCAATCAAATGAATGGTAGGTACGGTACCCCATTTTTTAGAAGGTACCGAAGTTGTCACCAAAAAAATATTCCCATTTTCAAGTCACAAGGATTTATTTATTCATTTTATCCGTATTTTTTTCCCTTTTAAAATCCAAGAATAATAAATTTGAAGTGTCATTCGTTTTTGGCAGGTTTGTCAATATGTCCCTCTCCGAAATTTGCCTGAGCTAAAGTGAAAACCGGCAACTTTAGGAGCTTAGAAAGCGAACTCCATGGCTCAGATTCTTCAGAAGCTCGAGGAGCTCGGATCCAAGCTCGACTCTCTTCCCAGCACTAAAGAGTATCTCGTCAAGCTCTTGAAGGTTACACCTTTTTATTCATCAATTCACTATTTTTTCCTTACATTCGTTGCTGTGCTAGTGAATTTCACTTGGTATTGTATTTTCGTAGTTAATTTTTGCCCTCTCTGGGTCTGGATGCGGCTTCTGGTGCTCAATTACGGTCTTAAGGGCTAATTGGGAAGCTCGGACTTTTAAGCTGAATTAGGGTTCTTGTCTTGTAACTAGTTGGGGAAGAGTAGGAGAAGTTTGTTTCCTCTTAGATTATACCAGGACGGTTTCTCCGGAACTAGTGAAAGTTGAGACTTTAGGAGATCTTAGGTCTTTTTTGGTTGGTTGGTTTGGTCACAATGTAGCATGCAAGTAGTACTGTATTTCCCATTACAAGTGAAGAAGATACAGTTCTGCTCTGGGACCTGTCTTTTGGTGAGTGGTATAGTGGATCAAATAAAAGACTTTCTTAATGTGTGAAAAAAGTGACAAGTTTTTTTCCCATTGCACTTGTATGGTAAGCTACTTCACTGTAAGCCGTTGTAAAACATGCGGTGACAAGTTTGTAAATAAGTGATCTTTTTACAGACGTGAAAAGTGCACCGTAGCGCTGCAAAAGCAGATATTTCACATTATACACGTTAAGACCCTTTTTTATTTGATCCTCACCATATATATATATATATATATGAGGATATAGAGGAATGATCATGTACATATGGATGTACGGGGGCTCCGTACGGACAAAGCCATTAGAGGCCCTTCCGGGTGGAATTTTTTGATGAATTTTTTTGAGCATGTTCTTCATCAAGTCTAGTTTATCCATACCAAATTTCTGCTCAAAATTCGATCAGGAAGGCAGTCAAATAAATTCTTGAAATATACTGCACATTATATGTGCGCAGAATGCGCCATATATTTCAAGAATTTATTTGACTGCCTTTCCGATCGAATTTGGAGCTGAAATTTGGTATGAATAAACTAGACTTGATGAAGAACATGTTCAAAAAATTTCATCAAAAAATTCGACCGGGAAGGGCCTCGGATGGCTTTGTTCGTACGGAGCTTCCCGTACATCCATATGTACAGGAACAGCCCTCATATATATATATATATATATATGTATATATATTAAGCAAGGTGAGTTGGTAGGAGGAAGGCTTTGCAGGGCTACTTTCATATTGTTGGTCTTTAGTCTTTACAACCTAGTTTTGAATGAACACATTTATGCTAATATAGAATCCCAAATTCCTCTCCGGTAGAAGCATCTCTTTCTTGAGTCCAAGTACATTTTTTGGAGCTGTACTAGAAGAGCTAGGGAAGTGCGCTGAGCGTTCATTGTGTATGCTGTATTACTAACTTTCTAAATGCAATACACTTGTACTGCATTGTATCTCACCAACTCTCACATGGTTATGGATATCCTGTAAATGAAGTTCAACAAGTGCAGAATTACCTTTAAGACAATACATGAAATGTGTTTATGTCCGAATTGACTTTCATGACACTGCACTAATTATGATAATTTTTTAGTGAATAACATTTTTCTTTCAAATGGAACTCAAGGTCTCATTAAATTCCTTCGTAGCTATGTCTCATGTGTGTGGCTGTAAAGCCACGTTTATACTGATAAACCAATGGAATTTTTGCTGTTAAAAAAATATCTTTATAAAGTGGGATTAAAGTTTCAAAACTTGCGAGTGCTATTGCAAAAAGAAACACTAGATGACAACTCTCTGTGTTGGACATACATAAATGAGCTACCTGCTTCAAGTGTTTTTGACTGCACTTTAATTGGATTTTAGAATGTAGATTTTACGCATTATTGGAGAAAAGTCACAATACACACTTTTCTTACCCAGAAATCATTTTGGGGTTTGAATTTTGTTTAATGTGTAGTCACGTTTATAGTTTTTACATCATGGCTAAGCTAATTTTTACATGCACTTAAACTGACAGCAAGGTTCAACATGCCTCTCTGACTTGGATCAGTCACCCCCTAAAGCTGTTTTGGAAGCCATGGAGCCTTTTCAAAATGCTATTGTACAATCTGAACTTCTAAAACATCAAGATAGGGAGATTAAGCTTCTTGTCTCTACCTGTATTTGTGAAATAATGAGAATTACAGCACCTGAAGCTCCTTACAGTGATGATGTTCTGAAGGTAATCTTTTAATTCTGAAGTGTTCCAGGAATGAAAAAACTGCTTTGTGTATGAATTTGGTATGTATTTCATAGATATTTTTCTATTCGACATCCTTCCAAATGCCTTTATATTTATGTCAGGATATCTTTTATTTGATCGTGAGCTCTTTCACCGGACTACATGATACAAATAGTCCTTATTTCGGTAGGAAAGTTGTAATTTTAGAGACCCTGGCAAGATACAGATCATGCGTCGTCATGCTGGATCTTGAATGTGATGATCTTGTGAATGAAATGTTTAGTACTTTTTTCAGAGAAGCCAGGTATGTATATTGTTACATGAAAATGCTAATGATTAGTTATGGTGACTGATTTGTTTCACGGTTCTAGAATTCTCAGTATATATACATACATTTGGCAAAAATTTGTTTGGCTGTTCTAAATAGATATTCTGTTTTATTTAAAATGTGCAGGGAGGAGCACCCTGAAAACGTTTTAAAATCAATGAAAAAAATCATGACCGTACTCTTAGAAGAGAGTGAGGATATACGGCAGGATCTTTTAGCTACTATTTTATCTGCTCTTGGACGTAACAAACAGGCAAGCACCCCCTACCCACACCTTAAAGACAAAAGATCTGATATTGAAGCTTGATTATTATTATTATCACTACTTTTATTATTATTATTACCCTTGTGAGGTCACTTGAAGTGCATAATTATTGGCTTCAATTCGCAGAGTGTAAAAAAGGCTGGGAGGAAGCTTGCCGTGGATTTGATAGAACAATGTGCAGGAAAACTTGAACCTGGCATCAAGCAGTTTCTTATATCTTCAATGTCTGGAGAAAGTAGACAACACGATTTTCAAGTAGACTACCATGATATCATTTACAATGTTTACTTCTGTGCCCCTCAAATTCTATCTGGAGTTGTCCCCTATCTGACAGGGGAGCTTCTGGTAATGGTCATTGCCTTGTCTATATCCTCTGCATATTTGAGAGATAGTTGCTTTGCTATAATGCATTCTCTTTAAATACTTTTAATGAAGAAATACTTATTGAGCGTAAAAAACTATGGCATGATTTGATGTTCTCCGCCTCTAATATTTCAATTTTACTTGTGTAGTCAACTAGTCATTCGTTTTCTTTTTAGTTTCCTGTTTGTAAGGTTATCAGATTCCACATTTCTATATCACAGACTGATCAGCTGGATATGCGACTAAAAGTGGTTAGCTTACTTGGGGATCTCTTTGCTATGCCCAAATGTGTAATCAATGAGGCTTTTCAATCACTATTTATGGAATTCATAAAGAGGTTGACTGATAGAACAGTTGAAGTTCGGATGCGTGTCCTTGAAAAGGTTAAAGCTTGCTTGCTCTGTGATCCATTTAGAGCTGAAGCTCCTCAGATTATTTGTAAGAAACTTTGACTTGCTTTTTTTATCAGTTTAGTTTTAAAATATCGATTCTAATATGTATAGATGTGTTTTTAGCTGCCTTATGTGAGAGACTGCTAGATTATGATGAAAATGTTCGGAAGCAAGTAGTTGCTGTTCTCTGTGATGTAGCATGTTGTGCCTTATCCTCCATAGATTCTGAAAGAATCAAGCTTGTTGCTGAGAGACTTAGAGACAAATCTGTATGTTGATCTTTCTCTGTTGGTATGCATATTTTTATCTGATAGTTAATGCATTTCTTCTTCTTCTGACAATATGTTTGAACCTTTTATCCAGTTCCTTGTGAAAAGATATACAATGGAGAGGCTAGCTGAGGTATACAGAAATTATTGTTTGAGCTTTTCCAATGGCTTGCATAAAAGCTTCGAATATGATTGGATCCCTGGGAAGATCTTGAGGTGTTATTATGACAAGGACTTCAGGTAAAATTTTCTTTTACAACCTGGGTTGTATTATTCCTTGGTTAAAGGAAAATCAAGTTGCAATTCAAACCTATGGGGATGTTTGGGTAATAGTTTTTTTGCCCCAGACAACATTTTTTTTCTAACAGCAAACACTGCATTTTGCAGCGTGTTGCCTGCCAACCGCCGAAATACAAACACCCCCTATGTAGACTGATCACAAAATGAACTTCAAAGAAATCAGAAATCTTGGCTCTTTATAAATTTATGATGGGAGATCTCTCAATCAGACTATCAGAGTATCAGGGGCTATTTATTACAGAAAATTCCTAAATAGGACTAAAACAAAGATTAAGTTCATAAATAGGACTATCTTGGTTGTATTCCCAAAATAGGATTCATTTACTCCTATTTTGGGAAGTTTTAATAATTTTTTTAATAGGACTAAATCAGTCCTATGTAGGGAATAAAACATACTTAGTCTTATTTTTGAACTTTGTGTATGTTTTAGTCCTATATTGAGCAATTTCTATATTTATTATTGTAAAGTAGTTCATGTCATTTGAGTTTAGTATATGCTTCTGCAACTAGTTCCTTCAATATTAGTGATATAACACTAATTCCTTTTCTGCAGATCAGATGCTGTTGAGCCTGTTCTATGCCGTTCCTTGTTCCCCAGTGAATTTTCTGTTAGAGACGCAGTTAAAAGTTGGGTTAGGGTCTTCTCAGGTTTTGACAAAATTGAGGTCAAGTCTCTTGAAAAGATGATGGAACAAAAGCAAAGGTGTTCATCTGCCTTTTATGTCAACCATTTGACATTTAGTTACTGTTTATGTCACTTGCTCTTCCTCTTTTAGTGTTAGATTAACTTGGAGCTATCTCTGGCTGACTGTAGGTTACAACAAGAGATGAGGAAGTATCTTTCTTTAAGGCAGATGACACAGGTTTGCATCTTGTTGAAGCTTTAAGGCGTTTAAGCTAAATCTGTAAGAGGCTAACTGCATATACAGTTGATTTTGACAATTACCAACTAATGCAGGATGGTGATCCAGCTGAGCTCCAAAAGAAAGTTATGTTATGCTTCCGTGTTATGTCTCATTGTTTTACTGACACTGCAAAAGCAGAGGAAAACTTTCATATTCTTGATCAGTTAAAAGATGCCAACGTGTGGAAGATTTTAGAACTTCTCCTTGATCCTAACACCATTTCTCTTCATGCTTGTAAATCACGGGTGAGAATATATATATTAACACTCTCTAGCTGGTGCTGTTCCCTTATTATTCCACTTGATATTAATCTAGAGTTATAAATTGTGTAGTCCTGTTTATATTTGAAAATGTTTATCCTACAGGAGGAGTTGCTTAATATCCTTGGTGAGAAGCATCCGCTGTATGACTTTCTGAGCATTCTATCCTTAAAATGCTCGTACATAATGTTCAGCAAGGAGCATGTGAGGGAAATCCTTCTTGAGGTTGACATCCAAAAGTCAGATGGAAGTAACCATATGATTCTATCATGCATGACTCTACTTGTGGTACTGCTATTATGCATGTTACTTCTTTATTTATTAATTTTTCTTGTGGTGTTTTTCTTGTAGCCAATAATCCTCTATTTCTTAGGTCTTACAATAGGCAAATGACTCACTTACTCACCTATAATTTCCCCACCTTTAGTCACATATCTCATTTGTTTTTGTGGTTTCAGATTCTTGCACGTTTCTGTCCTCTCCTTCTTAATGGCCTTGAGGAAGCCCTGATACATCTTCTCGAAGATGACAATGAGATCATTAAAGAAGGAGTTTTGCATATTTTGGCAAAAGCTGGTGGATCTATTCGCGAACAGTTAGGAGTTTCATCAAGGTTCATGTTGTAAAATGTTGTTCTTTAGCTTCAGACTTGCTTTGCACATTCAATAAAAATTTGTAGTTATTGCTGTCAGATCATTAGACCTTTTGCTTGAGAGGATATGTGTTGAGGGTAGTCGCAGGCAGGCGAAATATGCTGTACATGCATTGGCATCAATAACAGCGGACGATGGTCTTAAGTCACTCTCTGTTTTATACAAGGTCGGTTAGAGCATTATGTTTTTTCTGTCTCACTTCTACTCTCATTAAATGTAACTAATACTATCGTATTGTTTAGTTCTCCTCTAACTGTTGAGTGGTGTTGATTTCTGTTGGTGTTTCCTCTGTGATGTTCAGCGGCTTGTTGATATGCTTGAGGAGAAGTCACATTTGGATGCTGTTCTGCAGTCTCTCGGATGTATAGCCCAAACGGCTATGCCAGTCTTTGAGACAAGGGAAAGCGAGATTGAACAGTTCATAAAGAAAAATATGTTACAGTGCAATCAAGTACGCTTTTTTTTGTTTTTATTGTTGTTGTATTGATAAGTTGTCTTTGATTATTATTATTGTTATTATGAATTTATGAGTATGATTAGGGGTTTTGACCTGAATATTACTAAAAAGTAGATAATGGACAAAAAAGTGACGTTTCTTCTAAATTTCCAAAAATATGGAGAAAAAAGGGACATTTCGTTTAACTTTCCAAAAATATGACTACTAAGCATTAAGTTTACTAAATTATCCTCAGCGACACCAGCCACCGTGACACCGCTGCCCGTGACACTGCCACAGTGACATGCTGACTCCGGCCAAGAGGAGAGGGGGGGGGGGGGACGCGGCACAAGAGAGCAGCGGCAGTAGTGCGGCACAAGAGAGCAGCGGCAGTAGTGCGGCACAAAAGAGTAGTAGTGCAGACGAGACGAGAAGTTCCGTATTTGGGAATTAGGGTTTCATAGTCACTTTTTTGTCCAATTTTAAGAGTCTATTTTAGTCTTTCCTAAGTGTGTATTTAATATTTAATTATTTATGCCATTCTTTCTTATTATTATTGTTATTAGGCTAAAGGGTCAGATAGGTGTTGTACACTTGTACCCGTCTCTGTTGTGAAATTCAGCTCCTAAACTAAAAAAAGATCCAATTCGCCCCCTGAACTCGGTGAAAAGATTCAAATTCATATTTTTATGCGCCTACTTTGCATCTGACGTGTAAGCTAAAGGGTCAAACAAGTCTCTGAATCTGTCCGAGTTGTTCAATTCACTCCCTCAACCATTAAAAGGTGTCAATATTTCGATGAATTAAAAATAAAATTAGAAAAATGGAAAATACTTGTATAAGATATTTATAGAAGATATTTATATTTTTCAGTAAATTTAAAATTATAAAAATAAATTGTAATAAAATATAATGGTATGCATCATTTGCACGTTTCATCTTTTTATGTTTAATACTTGTATTTTATACATACACTTTATAGATTTTTATTTCTATTTTTATTTTAATTATATTTCATATTTTATAATTTGTGTTTTTATGTATTATATTTGGTATATGATATTTCATATTTTATAAATATACTAGGTTTTATTTTTATGTTAACTTTTTGTAATTTTTTATGTTTTGTAGTTTTTATATTTATAATTTCCATTCTATATTTCATTTAATGTTTGTGTTTGTATATGTAATGTTTGATATTTCTCTTTTATACGGAGTATTAGATAATATATTTAGGTTTAAGGTTTTAAATATTGTAATTTATGTTTATTATTATTCTTTTTTAATTTCTATTTTATATTTCATATTCATATATTTGAACTTCCCAACGGCTAACATCTAAAATTCTAAATTATGAAATATGAACTCTAAACTCAAGTTGTAATTGATAAAATGTCAAATGTAAATATTTGAAACAAAACAAAAAAATAATATATGAAAACATAAGATATAAAATATAAATATAAAATACAAACAAATAATATTTTGGAAAATATAGATATAAAGTATAAAATATAAAGTTTGGAATTATTTTTATTGTATGTTTTATATTTTATATTTTGAATTACCACATTTTTTTTCTATTTGTATATTTTTAAATGTTTGTTATTTTTATTATTTTTTTAAAATACCTTTTTTTTATTTCTTCTATTTTTATTTTGAGTTTATCACAATATTGACACTTTTATGGTCGAAGGTTTGGATGAATGAAGCAGAACAGACTAGACTTAGACCAGACCAACAAATTGCAGACCAAAAGAAAACATCCTTATTTGAGACCCATTATCTTCCTCGTCAAATGCACCATTAAGCGGGTTGACACCTTAATTAGTGACATGGCGTGTAAACAGAATTTCATCCGTAAGAAGTTTGAAATTTGAGTGAGTTCAGGGTGTGAGTTGGACCTTTTTTAGTTAAGGGGCTGACTTGAGCAACCAGGACGAGTATGGGGACCTATTTGACCCTTTAGCCTTATTGTTAGTACCATCATCATCATCATCCAGTCCGTCCTTCTATTAGTTAATCTATGTTTCTTCTTCAGGCATCAATGGATAATGCGGAAGACTCTTGGGAAGAAAGGAGCGAGATTTGCTTATTGAAGGTCAATTTTCAGATATTTGTAAACTCTTGATATCTGTTTATTTTTTATAGTCAAAGCACTAGTTTGATTTATTAAAACTTGTTTACAGATTTATGGCATCAAAACATTGGTAAAAAGCTATTTGCCAGTAAAAGATGCCCATCTTCGTTCGGGGATTGATGACTTGATATTGATTCTAAAAAACATTCTCTGCTTTGGGGAAATCTCGAAAGAAATTCAATCAAGGTAATGTATAATCTGCAGATTTGTAATTTTGTCCCCATAACTGGAATGGTTCAGTCTTGCTAGTTAAGTATTAGGCTTATGAGCTTTACTCTCCTCTTCAATTCTTTAATTTTATTTTTTTATTTTTTCCAGCTCAGTGGATAAGGCCCACTTAAAACTCGCTGCTGCAAAAGCTATTCTTCGCATTTCGAAACACTGGGAGCATAAGATTCCTGTAGATATCTTTTATCTAACCCTGAGAACTTCAGAGGTGAAGTCTTATATATGCACTTCAAATAAGTTAAACTATTTTTTTATCTTTTTATATTTTACAATCTCTAAGGTAGTCTTATAATTAAATTCTTTAAGCCTCCACTTTACTAAATAGATGTCATTTCACTGGTTAATGCTAGTAGGCCAACTTCCCTCAAGTAAAAAAGATATTTCTGAACAAAGTTCACCAGTACATAAGGGACCGGCTTTTGGACCCCAAGTACTCATGTGCCTTCTTTCTTGAGATGAGGCCAGAGCTAGTGGATATTGAAGAGGTAGTTCATTACTATCTTTTCATTCATTTTACTTAAGCCTACTATCATTGAAGGATTCTTGTAATTCATTGCTTAAGTTGTGCTATGACACTATGACCCTTTTATCCCTAATTATTGGCAGGTTAACAACAACCTAAGTGACATCATTCAGATGTGTCAGCAAGGGAAAGCCCGCCATCTGTCCTCTCAATCTGATGCAAATGCTCCTATGTGCTATCCAGAATATATTCTGCCATATTTGGTCCATGCTCTTGCTCATCATCCATCATTTCCTAACATTGAAGAATGCAAAGATGTTGAAGCATTTAGATCTTTTTATAGGTATGTATTTTTAGTCTGCAATGGCTGCTGGCACATATCTAAGACCTAATTAGAGAACAGTCTGGACTGTAGTTCTTTTACCTCTTCATTCTTCTTCAAATTTAACATACCATTGATCTCTGTTATTTTATATTCTCAGAAGCTTCTCTGTATGCTATTCTTCGTGCCATTTGGGTGGAATAATAATAGATCGTGATGCATGTATATTTTGGATATATAATATACATTTTTCTTGCATTGGTTAATGATAATGATGATGAGAAATTCAGTTCCAAATCTTGTTGTAACATGTATACATTTTCTCTCCAGGCAGTTGCATCTATTCCTCTCAATGTTCATGCATGGGGATGTTGGTAAATCTCAAATTAGCAAGGATCAGGAGAAGGAAAGTATTGCAGCAATAAACTCTATTTTTCATAGCATCAAGCAATCACAAGATGGCATAGATGCTACTAAATCTAAGGTTAGAATGGTTTAATTATATTAGATCATGAAAATAGTATTTTCTCGTTTCTGTTGCATTGTTCTATCTTCTTATCTCTTTTTGAGGTTACCTGAGAGTTACCCTCTGCACTGAGATTCTCTTGATAGCTGTTTGTTAAGTTTAACATATATCAGGTCACCTTAAGCTCAGCACCTTGCAGGAGCATAAAATGTTAATTTGTGAAAGAAGGCTATAGATATGTGAATTATTACTTCGAAATCAAATGAGGTTATCTCGATTTTAATGAATCGAGCATCAATTCTTGCTGCAGAACTTGTATGGTATTTGTGACATCGGCCTTTCGATCACAAAGCGTTGTGCCTCAACAAAAGAGGATGTTCAAGAATTAAACACACAAGTGTCACTACCTACAATGCTATTCAAACAACGTGAGGTGGATGAAGGGAATGACCCTACTCTGGTATGTATTACCTGCTTGTCACTCTGGTCTCTGCTTGGTTTACCAATTTCTGACATGGCATTGATAACTGAATTCTTTCTTGCTGTGTTGCGACAGAGCCTACATTAAGATATTAAAACCAGAGAAAATTTGTAGGAACTAGATCTATAAATGTAATATATGCAGCAATCTGAAAGAGAATACTCCTGCCTTATAGAACTTAGTTTTAGGAAAGACATTTTTAAGATTTCCTTTCCTTCTCAAAAGGTAAACACAGTTAATGATAGCTGGTTGGTTACTAATAAGGTAATGTTTGAGCAATATATTTTGCAGTAAAATTATTTCCATTTTAGGAATGGGAGAATATAAATGGGACAGATGTAAAAGTAAACTGGGACATTATTTTTGGGACAGAGGAATATTCTGATGAACAAATGTTGTAATGTTGCCATTTGTATCTACTATTCCACATTCCACGCTTGGTAGTCACTAGTTAGTTTAATTAATTATCCAGTAATTATAGCTGGTTGGTTGCTAATAAGTTAAAGTTATTTTAACTGGCTAGTTTAATTAATTATCTAGTGATGATACTGTGATAGAGCTAAAGTTAAACTTTCAATCGCCACAAGAGTTGCCATGTTAGTCATTGTGTACATTTTTTAAACTAAACCAAATGAATGGGCTCTTTAATTATGCCACTAGGGTTTATTCCATTAGTATTGGAGTTCTTTTGCTGGCATTTCCATTTTTCATCATGGAATTGCATTGGCTTGACTGACAGTTATTTGTTGCCGGTTGGTGTTCTAATCTCCATTCCTTCCAAATGTTTTGCGCAACCTCTTGGTCTATGTGGAAATTCACGTGGTTTAGTTTCTCTTAGAGATAGAGAACCCTAATTCTTAGCTATCTATTGGTGGAAATGACAATACATGGTATTACTTTGTAGTCATACTTTGGTTCGTTGACCCATCATATTTGAAATCTTGATGACAGGTCAAGGAACAGACATGGCTGGCTGATGAGAGTGTCCTGCTCCAATTTGAGTCGCTTATGTGTGAAACTAGTGAAAAAGTAAGCTCTTTCTCTACTTTCAGTTACAAGGTTACAACATTATGATGCATCCCATCTTTAAATAAAGCTCTTCTATCCTTCAGGCCAATGCAGATGTTTCTGGAGATGATGAAATTAAAGACTGTGAAATAGATGGAAGTGAGATTCCTCTAGGGAAACTTATGGAACAGATAAGATCTAAGGTGTCCAAGGCACGAAAAGCATTAAAGAAGCAATCCTCCCTTACTGAGGTGAAAAATAATGATGTTGATATCTTGAAAATGGTGAGGGAGATCAATTCAGATAATGCCGTCAGGTCTATTAAGTTCGAACCAAGCAATGGATTTGAGTGTGTTGGAAAAGGAAAAACCAGTGATAAGCATAAGAGAATGAAAACAGATGTTAGCAATGCAACAGATGTTCATGTCCCTAAAAGGTCATCACCATCTCCCACATCAAAGGCTTCTGAGAAGCCTAATATGCATCATAATGTGACCATCTCAAACTCTAGTGAAAGAAGTGAAGACCTTAATTCCATTTCAGAAGATAAGATGTTGGAAGAAGATACTATTTCAGAAGATAATTTGTTGAATTCTTCGAAAAGAAAACGTAAAGTTTCTGATTTGCACCATGAAGTTGGCACTAAGGACCACCATGATGAGAAAGTAAGTTTTTTTGCAAGTAAAACTGCTTGTGTTGGAGCTTTATATTCATTGTTTGATTTGATTCCCCATATGTACAGAATTCTAAAATGAATATTGCAACTGACTGGACATGCATTTCAAGTGATTCCAAGCCAGTATCTATCAAGAAACAGAAGAAGAAAAACATTTCTAGGCTGATAAAGGTCAGAGTGCCCAATATTTTTACTCTAACCTGCTGCTTCTCTTTTGAATGAATTTGCATGCTGTATCATTTGTGGTATGTTTTCTTCAGCTTGCAGTATGGTTGTTGACATGCTTCTTAGACATCCTATTAAGGAATGATAATTCTCTCTACTATAGTAAATAGTGGAGTAATATAAGCTATAAACGATAATTATAAGTTTTGTTTTCTTTTATTACAAAGCTAAACAAAATAGTTAGTGTCTTTCCTGTCTGCATAAATTTTTCTTTTTTGGGTTATCAAAGCGGTCCATGCTTTCTAAGGATCCTTTTGATTTTCTTATGACACGGGAAGCCTTTATGTAGAGCATTGACTGCTTTTGTTCATGTATAGATTACCTGACTGCTGTTCTTGTTTCTACTCTAGTGCACTTCAAAGGGTCGTGAAAGCCCAACCATGGATTTGATTGGTTGCAGAATACAAGTTTGGTGGCCCATGGATAAGAAGTAAGTCACAAAATTAAGATTTTAATCTTTTTACCATGGTCTTCTTCTTCATTACCCCAGTACCGCAAAGGCTCCCACCTACGGTGGGGTAAGGGGAGGTCGGATGTACGCAGCCTTACCCGTGTAGTAAAGTACAGAGATGGTTTCCGCATGACCCATAGTTAAAATCGTGTCAAAAATTGCATAGACTGACTGTTGCTTGATAACAAAGAAGCGCCGACAGTTTAGTGAGCCATTTTGCTTTATTCCATCATATCTCCAAGCCAAAAAATAGTGAGTCTTTGGCTCCATTGCAAATGATGGAAATTTTTTTACCAACGTATTTGGACTAATTTATTATGATTTGTGCACACCTTTTTTCTTCTCTTCTCTTTCACTATCTTCATATGATGCACTTCTTCCACTGAGTTGCCTTTTTCTCAAAAATAAATATGAAGGGTCATATGCTGGTGGCCCTGTTTGGATATTCTGATTCAAATGAGAATATACTTTGTGCTATGATTATATATCTTCATCTTATTGAATTATTCCAGTGTCCTTTCACTCCTTTGTGGATATTTTGGGTCTAATATGAGTATACTTCTCCATGATTTTCTTATTTATCTCCAAATCGTAGTATTTTTTTCTCTAGATCAAGCACACAACTGCATTTCATCATTTCATGCTTTAGTAAAAGTTTTATCTAGTTTGGTAGTGAACTTAGGTTTCTCTGTGGCCCCTTTTCTTGTTTACCTTTTATGCTTCATTTCTATGTAATATCAGTCACACATTAAAAATTTAAACTATAGTGTCATCCACGGGTGTCACATCAGCGTGCTCTCTCTTAGGCATATTGACTCTGTTTCCTAATTTCTGCGACACCTCAGGTTCTATGAAGGAGTCATAAAGTCGTTTGACACTCAAAAAAAGAAACATGTGGTAAGTTGTATTTCACACTGAATTACAAAGTAATTCTCTAATTTTCGCTACCTCCACCCCCTCAAAAAAGGTTCATGTTTCACCAAGGAACATATTTGTTCAATTTGGTAAGGTATACCTATGGGATTATCAAGTCTAGCTATATTTTAAATTTGAAATACGTAGTATATTTTAATAATAATGGATTTTTTTGTAATGTTTGGATAACACTTGGCCTTTTTTGGGGACAAAGATAAGTTTTCAAATAGGACTATCTTGGACAGAGCATACAAGTCTTAAAATAATTCTTTGATTTCACTTGATTTGTGGGGTTTCTCCCTTTTCTGTTTATGCAAGATATTATACAATGATGGAGATGTGGAAGTCCTTCGTTTGGACAAGGAACGCTGGGAACTTGTTGACTGTGGAGTAAAAAAGACTATTAAGGTCAGATTCTTTGTTTACTATTTGGAAAAGGGAGTTTTCCTCCCGTTGCCACACATTTTGATTCGGTATGTGATACTTGTCGTCATATGCAGCAATCAAAATCATCTAATGGCGCTTGGTCCAAGGGAGGGTATGCGTTTCATTTCTTCTATACTTTCAAAGGAAGCATTATAATATTATGCAGTAATCATTTTTTTGATGGATGCCCTTTTTGGCTGTGTGATTTTGCAGGGGAGGGGAGAATTGATTATTGTTATGTTAACTTATTTCAGTTTAATTGTTTAGACTAGAAGTGCAACAATATGCTCAACTTAATAATGTATTTCTAAATATTTTTTCAGATTCACTTTCCTTCCACCCATCACAATGTAAAAATAAATTAGTAGTATAAATATCGCCCATCCTCTTCTCCAAAACCCCCAGCCAAACAGCAGGGCTAAGTTTTGGATGAAATCATCGTGCATGGGTCACAGTTTACTTGAATGACATAACATATTGCTAACAAGTAACAATGCACTTTCAAAATGAATGATAGAATGTACCCCTAACAAATGCTTGTTAGAATGGAAAGCTGCTTCAATTTGATAATGGAGACTGAAGAATACATTTTGTTGTGTAATGCCAATAACATAACAAATTGCTGTTAGAATACAAAGCTAATTTCAATTTATAATGCTCTTCTACTCTTAGCAATGTTTCTACATTCTAATGAAAACTAGTGTAATGCAGTTCCTTCCCAAATTTGTTCCTCCTCAAGTGGTGCCAACAATGTCAAATCATTTCAACAAGTTAAGAGATCCAAATTGTGAATTAAGAAAAATGAAAAATTAAAGTTAGTGTTCAAATTATGAAAGTTGAGATGTTTTTGGGGTGGAGTGGAAAATGAAGTATAACCATTAAAAGAGAATGTTTTGGAGGGGCATTCTAAATTGCTAATCAATTGGTTGTCTTCTGTGGTTTACGATTTACCATTTTTTTACTGCAAAAATGATTTCCTAAAATTGCCAACCACATTGTGTTTTGTTGTTACTGTTGTTTTCCAGATCTCATGGTAATAAAAAACAGAAGTCTTCTGATGAGTCAGCGCAAAAGAAAGGATCAGGCCATATGTGAGTTTGTGATTCAGTCCAGTGAATAGAATAACATTTCTGCCTTCATCTCCTTCCTATCGTCTATGTTATGCGTGACAGGTCTACTTTGTCTCAAGTTAGAGGGAAGAGAATCCCAAGAACGAAATTGAAATGTGGACATTTGGATTTAGATAAAGGTTTGCCAACTATTCCATTCTATTTGCTCTTATTTTGGAATCCCTTTGGGTCAGTTTGACGTCTATAAAAATCATCTTTGACCAGCTTATAGGCAAGGTTCGATCTTCATATTGTGTAGTCTTGGCGTTTTTTAAAATTGCATATTGCTTAAGCCTCATTGCTGAATAAAACTGAACCAAACTAAACCGAGAACTGATGTGCCACCCCTACCTTTTACGCCATAGTCCCGGAATTAGACGAGGCGCACCATGAGGCGCAATTGCATTGCACGATTACAATCAATGCGTATAGGGTACAAACTGTCATAAACCATACTAATATTTTTGGATTTATGTTGGTTTGGCGAAATGGAACGTGTTTAACATGTCACTGTTTTTTTAGGCAAGTTTTTGACAAATGACCAAATCACATGAAAAATGTATTATAAGGGATAAAAAGGGTTTGAAAGATGGGGGGGGGGGGTCATTTTACACGTTGAAGCATTAAATGTGTGTTTCTATTTGAGCATACATTCCCAGTCCTTAGTCTACAGTATCAGAGTTTTTATTTGAATGTAAGCTTTATGGAGTCGACATTATTTTAAATTAGCTTTCAGAGAATAAGGTATTTAGCTTTCCTATTTCCTGAAGGAAAACAAGAAGGAAACGTAGAACAAAGTGTATCTGACCTCAATCAGTCTGAGGACGAAAGCTCCGGTTCTGATGAGCAACACAGGGACGAGGAGAATGACTCATCCACATCTGATGAACATAAAGTGGATGTACAGCCGGGCGCTCCCTGTGATGTCTCATCCACATCTGATGAACAAGAAACGTCTTCATCAGACGAGGAGCGTGAAAGGGATAGACCGGATATTCTGGACAGTCCAATGGAATCAGAGGAAGATGTGGAAGCCACACCTGCTACAGATGCAGAGTTTTCTGACAACGAGACTCTTGTATGAAAATTTTGCTATTTACATTCTAACTTCACATCTTTGTTTATATATTTTGCTGGGAAAATCACTCCTTCAATTCCCATATGTTTAGCATATTTAACTTGGTGCTTCCATAGTTCCATGCCAAATTTATTCCTAAACTTAGTCTTTCTTTTGTGAAAAGAATTTAGCTATGGTTAGTCTCTTCCGTTCTAATCACTGTACACAGTTGAGAATTAGTGTTTAAGTAGGGCACTACTCCCCTGGATTGCCTCATCTAAACACAAATAGTGATTTTAAGGAGATGGACTAATTGTAGCCCAATTCCTATAATGATTGAGGGACTAATGGCCCATTCGGTAACGGCTATTTGGCTGGATCTGCTGGTTTTTCTTAAAAGAAGAGCGTTTGCTAACATTCATTTATCGTACCAAATAAGTCGGTCAAAAGCTACTTTTTCCAGTGATAAGCAAAATAAGCAGAACAAGCCAATTATGTACCAAATGGAGTGTCTACAATTAAAAGGCAGGTCCCAGATCAAACAGTAGACGGGCTAAAAGTGCGACTTACCTTTTTTCTATGAGGACAACCTAACTACCCAAGTAGTAGTTGTTGTGGATGCTGATGATGTTCATTTGTGTCTATTTGGCAGATTATGTGGCAGCGTCGGGTGGTGTGGAAATCGGCTGAACAGAAGCAGTGACAGGCTTTTATGTTAATTTTTAATTAGCAATGAGTTGAGCACACTCAGGGGCCAGGGCAGTCTCTCCCCCTTTGTATCTTAGAAAGCTGCTACAAGGTTTTCATCATAATAATCACAAGCAGTGAAGTACAGATGACATCTATAGCGAGCCGAGTGTAGCATTTTTTAGGACAGCAAATTACGGCTCTCAAAATTTGTGCCTAGCCTTTTCTCTTGAACCCCTTGGTTCTTGTAGCCATAAGACTCCCTTACACCACCTGTACAGCTCTAGTATAGCTAAGATAGCCATAATTTGCGCAGGAACTGACCTTTTGCTGTACTGTTTGCGCTTTTCTAGAGCTTTGTATATTTTCCAAACTCTATGAAAGAAGTTATTTTTGGCATTTGTGTGTAAATCATTTAAATCATAGATCTATTAACCATTGTATTCTCTATATTTGTACCTTCGTTAATTAAATAATTAATTATTATCTGTTGAGCATTGTCATTTTGTTGGACTGGAAGCAGTCATGGACCTGGGCCGGGCCTGGGCCTGGGCCGGGCCGGGCTTAGGCCCGGTCGGGCCTCGGGTTTTTTGAAGGAGGCCCGGGAAGAACCGGGTCCGGTCCGGTACTCCGGTCTGGGCCTCGGGTCAATTTTTTTCCTTTTACTAATTACCCCCCCCCCACCCCCAACCCCCCAAACCACCCCAAATGGCCTAAAATACCTAGCCCAACTTGAAAAGATAAAAAAACTCGAAAAAAAAAATTAAAAAGCCCGGAATCGGGCCCGAACCGGCTAGGCCGGTTCTGCTTTTGGGTGACCCGAGCCCGCACCGGGAACCCCCCGGGCTGGGCCTACCTGGACCGGTCACTGGCTTGGCCGATTCAGCACAGTACTGGTCTCGGTCCAAGACTAACTGGAAGTCTGAAAGATAGGCCAGGCACCTTTCTTTGTTCAGGTGTAGTACAAACCACACAAGTCTGATCTAGTGGTGGACTCGGGTCGGGCCACCTGGCCCGGAACCGGTACTGTTTGGGCCCGGCCTGGTACCCGGTCATAGGACCGGTCCGGGCCACCCGAACCGGGAATTAAACGGGACGGGCTCGGGTCTCCTAAAAGTGGAACCGGCACGGTTGGGCCGCGCCTATTTCTTTTTTATTTTATTTTATTTTTATTTTTTCAGTTTTTTTGGTTTCTCCCAGGTTGGGCTGGGTGTTTTTTGGGGGGGGGGGGTTGGGGTTAATTATAAAGGGGATAAGGGTCAGTTTGGTCCTCGAAGTTGCAAAAAAAGGGTCAAATAAGTCCTTATATAGAAGATTCTGTCCGGACGTGCCATTTGAGGTGGCTCCCGGTGGATTTTTTTGATGAAATTTTTTGAGCATCTTATTCATTAAGTCTAGTTTACTCATACCAAATTTCAGATAAAAATTCAATGGGGAAGACATTCAAATGAATTCTTGAAGATAATTGTGCTGTTAAAAGCGCTGTTATCTTTAAGAATTCATTTGAATGTCTTCCCGATTGAATTTTTAGCTGAAATTTGGTATAAGTAAACTAGACTTAATGAATAAGATGTTCAAAAAAATTATCACAAAATTCCACCGGGAGCCACCTCAAATGGCACGTCCGGACAGAATCTTCTATATAAGGACTTATTTGACGCCTTTTTTGCAACTTCGAGGACAAAACTGACCCTTTACTCAATTATAAAGGCAAAAGAAAAAAAAATAACATGAACCGGCCTGGGTCCCAGTTCTTCCTTCCCAAAAAAAGCCCGGCTAAGCCCAGGCCCGAACCGGAACCGGCCCGGGTCCATCACTAGTCTGATCTGATAGTTTTATATTAGATGGACTTGGTGTACTCATTTCTTGGAAGATGTCCTTGGGAAGCAAAACACGTCATTAATAAAACAGATCCACAAACAATTATAGGACTTAAGTATATTGGATTGACAAAAATAAATGACTTATACCTCCAGGCTCTGCAGAGTAAGGATGTTTTTACTTGGACTGTAATTTGCTGGTCTGGTCTGGTCTGGTCTGGTCTGGTAAGGTCTGGTTTCTTTGTATTTTTATAACTATCCAAGTCTGGTCTGAACTGGTCTGGTCTGGACTGGTCTGGTCTGGTCTGGGGCAAATTACAGTCCAAGTAAAAACATCCTAATTGCCGTTGAGTTGTTGCTGGATGCCACAATCATAGATGGCTACTACTGTGCTTGCCACCACGGTAGGTAGGTGGTGGACTTTCGCTGGCTCGCCATCGCTACACCAGAAATACAGTAACCGTAGATCTTACTCTAAATCTGAAACTTATGATCTAAATGTTGAACCATACAATAAAATTCATAGAATTTTGGGTTGAAATATTTGCACTTTTTAAACTAAAGATTGCATAGCCAAGGAACAAAACACATGTAGTCTTATTTTTTTTAAAGTGTAATAAGCTGAGCAATTTTCTCTTTCAACCCAATCTTCTTTTGGCAACCCCTTTTAGCACTTGCTTGTGGCATTAAAGTTTGGGAGCTGCGTATGTATTATTTGGAATTCCAAACTTGTTTGTGTGAATAATCATTATCGTTTTCAGTTATGTTCCAGCTTGCTTGTTTATATAGTAGACAGGTAGAGGTCAGCATGTAAAATCGGAAAAGTTAACAGTTTGATTTAGTGTAAAAGACATTTGAGAGACATGAAAAGAACAAGTTGATGAAAAGGTAAGAAAGAAAATAATATGGCATTACCACTAGGGCACTAGAAACGAGATACATTGAGAAAACATAAAACTAAAGCGTGACAGGAATAATCACCCATCCCTACATGAACACTAACTTTAACAAATGGAAAACTGTGTGACTCATTTTTAAGAGATTATGGTAATATAAACTATATAGAGCTTTCTTTAAAAGAAATAATTGTCAAGTTTGGGTACGAAAAGGAAAATGTGATATTATCAAGGGACATATGCATATAGTAAAACTAGTATAGCATTGCGATACAAACATATTTTGTATTTGGACACAAATGTATTATACTTCTGTGCTTTTGCAATCATGAATCATTGTCAAGATTCTACTTTCATAGTGTTGAATATTGTAGCATTGGGATACAAACATAATTTGTATTTGGACACAAACGTTAATAGTTAATACTCCGTACTACTTTTGCAATCATGAATCATTGTCAAGATTCTACTTGCATAGTGTTGAATATTGTAGTTTCTATTATATTATTAAGAAAATAAACAAAACTTTATGAGTTTATGTAATGTAACTGGATTGACTGTTACAATATTTGATAACCATTTGTTAGAGGTTAGACTCGAGATAGTAAAATTTGTCTGTAAACATTTTCTCTACACTGATTTTTGTAAACCCTTATTTCATGTAAAATATGCAGACAATTGTCTGTGTGCGCAAACAAATGCGCAAAATGTATAAAAAAGTGTATCTGACAAGCATCTCTCGACAGTGAAATTGCAATTTTGGAAATCAAGAATTCTCGGTTGCACAAGCTTAGTTTTAATTTGCATTTGGCTCCTCTAATCATTCGCTATTGATGGATTATATGGACTCCGATCCCCCGGTATGCCGACTACTAGGCCTGGACAGCGGCCCACACACCTTTAGCGGATATCATTAATATTATTGTACATTATTATTATTATTCAGATGTTATAGATTAGCTTTTTATACTATCAGTCCATTTATGTAACCGGGTCTGTCAGGCCCAGATTAGAGGCCCAGACCCGGATTTTCCCTATATATACTCCTTATAGGAGGCTTGTAAACTCATAACCAATATTCATTCACAATAAACATATATCTTCTTCTCCATACTCTTGTTCAATTTCTCTTAGCTATAGGTTATGGGTATCAATTATCCAACAATGGTGCTCTCGTTGAGAGGTTGAACACAATCAAGTGAGAAAACCTCCCAAAACAACCAAAAATTCATCAAAAACGCAAGAAATACAGGCAAAAACGGTTCTGAAATGCCATTGAAGCTCTCGCCGCCGCCCCTGGTCCAGCACCATCGTCGCCGCCCCTGGTCCAGCACCACCGTCACCGCCCCTGGTCCAGCACCACCGTCGCCGCCCCTGGTCCAGCACCACCGTCGCCGCCCCTGGTCCAGCACCGCCGTCGCCGCCCCTGGTTATAGCCATAGCAACGAAGTACAAATCTATGGCCTATAAAACCTCCAGACATGCGTTCTCCGTCCAGATCCGGACCAACCCAGCAACCATATGCACCGGGGGCTCAAGCAATTCTCGCATTCGAAGGATCGCTACAACACCTGTTGAAAGTTTGCGGAAAAATGGCTAAGTCCACGATTGGGAATCCTTCGGCAGACAGCCGTAGGCCCCACTATTGCCCACAGGCTTACAACCGAAGAAGGCCTCAAACTATTTGACGAGGCCCTAAAGCTACACAAAAGCTACACCATTAGTCGAAGGCTCAGTATTTCCGGGGGCCCAAGATGCAATTTCACCTAGTGAAATTGCTAAGTCTAATTCATCTTAGCCCTCGGTCCTATCACTTCACCCCGGAAGCATTACAAGGATTCTTTCCCGGAGTTTGAATTTACTTGGATTATTTTCTGAGATTTTGCTCCACATCCGAAGGGTCCTAACAGAGGTCTGGCTTAGGAAAGTATCTAACTCCACAACGACGAGCCCCCGGCAACCCCGGAATACTACTGAGGGCTCATGATTGGGTTTACACTTAGAAAAATTTCTAAGTCCACAACTACAAGCCCCCAGCAAACCTAAATGACAAAAGTTCTCATTTAGAAGATTTTTCTAAGTCCACAAATTTGTGGCCTCCGGGAAAGCAAACATTCACTCAAGAAAGGAAAATCACTCATATGCAAATACAAAAAGAAGCGAGAGCATACATTCAAAGACGAAGGCATACAATGAAACAGGACCGGAAACATCCATTGAGAAATAGCCCGAAGGCAAACTCTTCATCACCAAAGATTAATGTGCTAAGTACAGAAGATGTTTGTTTACAAAACATGGCCGAGGCCTACCACCTACAATCTATTACAGATTTCGACTTGGGAGAATTCCTAGGTTCGGACATCTTCTGCAACGTTCCCCTTTGGTTTGGAGGTAGCATCATCCCCGGCCTCCTCCTCGGCATCTCCGGCCTCCATTAGCAGCTCAGAATCCTCGAGGTCTGGCCTCTCTTCGTCCGGGGGGAGGGGTACCCTGACATCCGGCTGCAGAGGGGGTAGGCCGTAGGATGCGGGGTCAAACTCTTTCGCCTCGATCTTCAGGTGGCGGGCCAGCCTTCGGTACACGAGGCGTTGAGTAAAGAACTCTCCGCCATCGTAGTAGTCTTTACCCTTCCGGGCCAACCATTCAGCCCCGGGGCCCGCCACCCAACCGTCCACAGATTGCTCAATGACCGAGGCTAGCCATTGCTTCCGGCCCTCGGCCTTCCAGCCCTCGGTGACGAAGGAATCCACTGCAGCCTTCCCAGCCTCGGCAATAGCCTCC